ATAGCTGTAGTTAGAACCTGACATGAACATTAGCATTAAACGCAGCCTCCCTGCGACAATAGCTGTAGTTAGAACCTGACATGAACATTAGCATTAAACGCAGCCTCCCTGCGACAATAGCTGTAGTTAGAACCTGACATGAACATTAGCATTAAACGCAGCCTCCCTGCGACAATAGCTGTAGTTAGAACCTGACGTGAACATTAGCATTAAACGCAGCCTCCCTGCAACATTAGCTGCAGTTAGAACCTGACGCGAACATTAGCATTAAATGCAGCCTCCTTGCGACAATAGCTGTAGTTAGAACCTGACGTGAACATTAGCATTAAACGCAGCCTCCCTGCTTCCTGCTAGGGAGAGAATTTTGGCACAATACCCTTTTAGGTTACCCCTCCATTATCTGTATTTTAAAAGATGAATTTCAGTATATTTGAAGTTAAAGAATTCCATCGTAACATAATCTATCAAGTTGGGATTTAGCTGAAGGCCTAATAATATCCACGTACATTCGCTCTAACCTTTTTTTGGCTTTTAAGGTGGTCGCCATACTTTTTAGCTCATCTGACATAGTCAGATGCAGCTTGTAGATCGCATGAGCGTGCGTGCGTCCGTCCATCCGTGCGTGCGTCCGTCCACAGTTGGGCACAAATCTAAACGGCTCGACGTACGGTCACGATATTCGGGACGTGATTGTTTCAGTCGCGTAGGGCATGTTCATTACTGTACATATTCGTAAATACAAAGAGCCTCCGACTTCAACTCGCGCGATGGAATTAATGCAGGGTTGAAACCATTGGGACTAGAATTCTTCTTCGATATAGCTGAAATTAGACTTGTGAATTTCGGCCTAGTCGAAGATTTATTAAAGTAAAAACAAAAGGAAAGATCGGGACATTTGTGGAGCTTCAACTTGGCTGATTTTTCGACTTGTGCAATGTCGACTGTATATGCTTGGGGTAATGATGTCTAGATCAAAAATAAACTACCTGTACTTACGTGTTTTGTCCTATGGACATGTGGGAGGGGGGTAAATATGGATTTATTGTAGACAAGGGAAGGGGTCTGATTTCGCCATTTTATTGTGGATGTCATTTCTTAATGTCGCACATCACTGTTTTCAGGGACTTGTCCTGATGTAACGTTTCCCCTTTCTCATTTATCATCTTCCCTT